TCCCAGAGCAAAGGGGGGAAATGGTTAGGATCTGCATTAGGTTGCTGGAGTTCAATGCTGCTTGAGTTGTCTGTCCTCCTCTCCCATCACATACAGGATTCTTCATCTCCAGGATTGGGAGGACTGGTCAGCAGCCAGTTTACCCAGTGTGGCAAATTGATACAGACACATGCTATCTACAAACTCCATTCTGTTCTGTGAACTTCATTTTGATTGTAACCTATACTATATCTTCACTTCTGCAGTGTAGCCTTCAGCCTGGGCTGGGACAGCTGGGAGGTGTTAGAAGAAATCCCTTCACCTCACAGAGGGGCTAGCAATGGGAAAGCCAGCAAGAGTCTTCAACCTTGATAGTCTTTCATTCAAATGAGTCCACCCTAGTACGTTAGGCTTGCTGGAATCCAGAAGAATTCGTTTTCTCACTTTGGAACCCAAGGTTGAACTGGCAGGTTTTGAAGTTGCCTGGGAGGTCACCTGACAAAAGGGGCCAGAACTTCAAGGGCCAGATCTTCTTGAGTCTATGGCTGTCGTGGGCGATCTGTTGAACAGGAAGAGAAGAGAAGACTGAGTAGACTGAGTGGGATGGATTTGTAACTTTTGTGCTTTGTCTAATAAGTAAACTCTGGTTTAGAAGTTTCTTTGCAAAGTCTGTGTATTCCATTTGGTTTAGCTGTCACAAAGTCCACAATGAGTTAAACTGTAAATAGGAGTGCCCATGCAGTGGAGCTCTGATAGGGCATGGTTAAACTACTGGGGAGTCTTTGGAGGGGCAGCACTGTCTTGGGGCATGATCATGTGGACTGTGGAGTACCACATCCCAAGAATCTGGACACTGGGAGCGTGCATGAGAGGCTGGACTAAGGCAGTGTGTAGATCAGGGGTGGGCAAACTTTTTGGCCTGAGGGCCGCATTGGGTTTCCAAAATTGTATGGAGGGCCAGTTAGCGGAGGCTGTGCCTCCCCAAACAGCCAGGCATGGCCCAGCCCCTATCTGACCCCTCCTGCTTCTCGCTCCCTGATGGGGGGGCCCCCCCCGGGACTCCTGCCCCATCCAACCCTTCCTGTCCCCTGACTGCCCCTGGAACCTCTGCTCCTGACTGCCCCCCGCTGCCCCATCCAACCCCTCCTCTCATTCCTGACTGCCTTCCCCCGGGACCTCTGCCGCCATTCAACGCCCCCCCGTTCCCTGCTCTCTGACCACCCCGACCCCTATCCACACCACCACCCTGAACTCCCCTGCCCTCTATCCAACCCCCCTTACTGCACTGCCTGCAGCACCGGTGGCTGATGGTGCTACAGCCGCGTTGCCCAGAGTGCTAGGACAGGCAGCTGCGCCACCCGGCTGGAGTCAGCCACGCTACCGCGCAGCACAGAGCACCGGGTCAGGCCCAGGCTCTGCAGCTGCACTGCCCGGCAAGAGCTCGCAGCCACACCACCCAGAGCATTGTGCCGGCGGCGCATTGAGCTGAGGCTGCAGGGGAGGGGGCTAGCGTCGGGGGGGCTGGGCAGGAGGGTCCCGCGGGCCATAGTTTGCCCACCTCTGGTGTAGATGCTAAGACTCAGTAGGATTAAAAGCACATGAAATCCAAAGCTTGAATCCAATACAGAAGCCTGGTATTGATCACAAGGGGCAACTGAATCATGGTTATAATACCTATTCATAGGAATCTATTGTGCCTCTCTTACCTGGACTGGAATTTGACCCAGAAAAAGAGGATAAATGTAAATGTGTGCATAATTTTACCATATTAAGCAATTTTAATACTTGCCTCTGGCTCACTGTTTCTGGGAAAAATATATTTATCTTTCATATATATGAAGGTTGGCTAATATTTATTTGTTTTTCTTGCAGCCCAGCTAGAGATAAACTTTAAGGAAATGGAAAATCATCTGTTGCATCTTGAAGACCTGTGTGGGCAGTGTGAGTTGGAAAGGTACAAACATATGCAGGCACTACAGCTGGAAAACTACAAGAAAACAAAAAGGTAACTAAACTACAAATGCTATGAATAGTAACAAAAATAACTATCAAGCCATTAGTTTATAAACCTTTAATTCTCAATGTAAAATGATCTTGGTGCTTTTCCTTATCTTAGAATGTGGTCCGTTTTGTTGTCAAATAATTTGTAAATGTCAGGGTTATCTATGGCAGTTGACATATGATCTACAATAGGGTCATTTAACATTTGTTTTGCTGGTAGTGAAGTATGCAGAGTATGCATTTGGAAAAACATCAGTGTATAATTAGTGTTCAGATGTGGGTAAAATGATTCCTCTGAATTTCAGTTGTTGCTTGCCACAAGCAATAGGAATAAAGGCACTAAGAAAACATTCAATTAACTGTCATTTTAAAAAAAGTTCTTGTTTATCCCATACCTGTATTTTTCATGCTTTCAAATCTACAAAGTAGAAACTTTTTTTCTCTAATCCATCTTCCACCTCTGCCTCTAATAAATGCTCTCCCCAAATTGGCCTTTGCTGCCACTACTGCTCACTTGTCACTGTTTTACATTGACTGTCCTCTAGAGTGTTCCACTTGTAGCAATAAGTAGGAGTGTGCAGAGTCTTAAAAAAACAAACAAACAAAAAAAAGACACTAGAAATGGACGAATCACTTTTTGGGTCTTTGTGTTTTTTGTCAAGAGTGTCTAAAAAGTCTTCTAGTTAAATATGAATAAAGCCACAGGTAAGCACCGCCCCAGTCCCCAGCACTGAGCCCTCCTTGCCCCCCCCCTCCCAAACTCTTACTGCTTCGAGACGGGGGGCCTGAAACTGCCCCAGCAGCAGAAGATGACTGGCGCAGGGGCTGCCCGAGCTGCTCATGCGGCTCCCGGGCCAGCCGCATGGGTCACTGCAGAAGTCATGGAATCCGTGTTTGCAGGATTGAAGCCTAAATAAAAAAAAAAAATCAGGGTGGGAGAAAAGAAGCTTCATTATTTCCATTAAATAGATGGGGAACTGAGTCACAAATTGGTTAAGTGACTTGTCCAAGGTCACACAGGAAATCTGTGGTAGAGTTGGGAACTGAGCCCAGATCTTCTGATTCCCAGACCAGTGCCTTAAGAACAAGAGCATCATTTTTCTAGGGCTGTCAGATGATTAAAAAAATTAATGACAATCACGAGATGAAAAAAATAGTTGTGATTAATTGCAATTTTAAATGCACTGTTAATAATGAATACCATTGATTTAAATAGCTTTGGATGTTTTCTACATTTTAAAATATACTGATTTCAGTTACAACACAATACAAAGTGTACAGTGCTCTTTATATTTTTTACAAATATTTTCACTGTAAAAAGATAATGTATTTCATTTCACTTCATACAATTACTGTAGTGAAAGTGCAACTTACAAATGTAGATTTTTTTTTACATAACTGCACTCAAGAACAAAATAATGTAAAACTTTGACCACCATACCAGAGGCCATGGTTCCATGCTGATGAGGGTTTTGCTCAATAACGACCCAAAGCAGTGCACAAGTGATGCATGTTCATTTTCATCATTTGAGTCAGAAGCCACCAACAGACAGTTGATTTTCTTTTTTGGTGGTTCGGGTTCTGTACTTTCCACATCGGAGTGTTGCTCTTATAAGACTTATGAGAGAGCATGTTCCACAGCTCATCCATCTCCGATTTTGGAAGGCACTTCAGATTCTTAAATCTTGGGTTGAGTTCTGTAGCCATCTCTTCTTTGCGGTTTTTCATATCTGTAGTGGAAGTGTTCTTAAATTGAACAACATGTGCTGGTTCGTCCTCCAAGACTGCCATAACATTAAATATATGGCAGAATGTGGGTAAAACCATGGAGCAGGAGACATACAATTCTCCCCCAAGGAGTTGAATCACAAATTTAGTTAATGCGTGTTTTTTTTAAACAAGTGTCATCAGCTTGGAAGCGTGTCCTCTGGAATGGTGGTCGAAGTGTGAAGAGGCATTTGAATGTTCAGCGTATCTGGCACATAAATACCTTGCAACCTCAGCTACAACAGTGTCCTACAAATGCCTATTCTCACTTTCAGGTGACATTATAAATAAGAAGCGGGCAGCATTATCTCTCATAAATGTAAACAAACTTGTTTTCTCCTAGTGATTGGTAAACAAGAAGTAGGAGTGAGTGGACTTGTAGGCTCTCAAATTTCTCATGGTTTTGTTTTCGAGAAATGTAGAAAACTTTCAAAAATATTTATAGTTTTAAATTGGTATTCTGTTATTAAACCGTGCGATTAAATTATGACAATTTTTTTAAATCTAGTTAAGTTATGTTGCGTTAATTGCTTGAGTTAACTGCGATTAATTGACAACCCTGTATTTTCTCTGTTGGGACAATATTACCCAATAGGGGACTCAGTTTTTTTATCACCACCCTGCTTGGCGCAAGTATAGTGCTGAACAGTGGCAGTCTACCAATTCCCAGATACTAGTTAATTTGCCACACAACTACTTAAAATCTTGTATGAAAAGAAGTGGATTATTGAATCCAGTTAAATGTATTAATTCTTCTGAAGCATTCTGAGAGGATTTTATTCAGTATATGTGTTGAGGCATGCAGGTATTTTTTCAAAGAAATCTCTTTGGAAGTAATTTATTTTCCAAGGCGTCAAAATATCTATTAAGTTTGCTAAGCAGCAGTCAGTTCTATAAATAGCTTAACTTGCTTGGCATACTAATACTAAATTGATTGATGTTAGTTATTTGGTCAGGTGTAGCCAAAACAACAACAACAAAATATCCTAGATTATACCTGATGAATGATGTATGCCATTTTTAAATGATTAGTTGCCTCATGCATAGTGTAGCGTTTTGGAAGATCCCACTGTGTTTTAAAATTTAGAATGGAAAGAAATAATTCTTTAGGTCAACATTAAACCATTAAAATTCATTTCACAGTAATTATGGGAGAACTGTCTCTCGGAAATAGACCTCTTAATCTAGTCCATGTCAGATGACTTATGTTTTGTCATTGTGTGTTGAGTAACTATTTAGAAGTTTACTACTCCAACAAGATGCTTAAATGTTTGATTATAATTATGGCTAAGATTTTGTCATGGTTATTTTTAGTAAAAGTCATGGACAATAAACACAAATTCACAGAAGCCCTGACTTGTCTGTGACTTTTGCTGCTGCGGCTCCATGATTTCCCCTGCCACTGTGGTGGCTGGGAGCTGTGGGGTTCCCCCTCTGCCCAGGGCAGCTGGAAGCTGTGGGAAGGCCCTCCGCCTAGGGCGGCTGGGAGCTGCAGGGGGACCATATTTCCCAAAGAGGAAACAGGACATCCCTAGCCACTTGCCCAAGGCATCCCCTTTCCCCCCTGTGCGAGGCTGTTGCCTATCCCTGGGATCCTGAGGAGAGCCTCCTCAGGAGTCTGTCACCTGTCGCTGGAACTTTGCAGGGGGCCCCCTGTTGCTGCTGTCTCTGGAACCCTGCCAGGGCCCTGCTGGCTGCCAGCTCGAATCCCGCAGTCCCTGGGGCTGAAGCAGAGAATGTCATGGAGGTCTCTGGAAGTCACGGATTCTGTGATTTAAACGTAGCCTTAATTATAATGCATTTCAGAGCCTGATTAGTTTATCAGAGCATTGCTCTCTGAAGTTTTGATTCTAAATTGTAACTGTTTTGTCTGTTTAGGCCCTGATCCTCCAGTTGATTCCATGTGGGCACAGGAATATACCTGCATGCAATAAGTTGTAGGTTCAAGACCTAAGAAAGGACAGGAACTGTCTGTGTTTGTACAGCCCTTTGTACAATTGGACCCTGGTGCAAAACAAATAATAATGCAATAAAACAACCAGAAATAACCATATCGAAAAACCTAAAATATTTGGTCACTAATGAAATCAGTAGGTAAATTTCAGATGACAAGGCAGTAGCAGTGTCAGGAATAAGAAAACTTCAAAGGTTTTGCTCACATTAATCTTGTACTGATGGTTCCAGATATTGGTAGTCTAACAACCACACACTTAATTGATTTGCACATTTCTATTAAAAAAAATTTTTTTTGAATAGTTCACTAACTTTTTTTCCAAAATTAGGCAGGGCTAATATAACACATACAATTAAATATAGTGTCACAGCTGCTAGGCTGAGTGACCGAACAACAACAATATTTGGAGTACAGTCTCTAAATTTCCTGCAGTTGGGAACATGTGTGCATGTTGTGCTGTTCCTTGTATGGTTTCAAACATATTAATTGCATGGGGTTTGAAATTGACAAGACTGTTTGTTGCTCTTGAAGTTCTTTGAAAAACAAGTAGGCTTCTTGTTCTCTAATGTCAATACATGCTTTAAAAACAGAGCCAACAGAAAGATGAAGGAAGGAAGCTATTCTTGATTAGAATAAATCTAAAATTCTGGGTTTATTATTGATAGGGTAATCTTTTTTAGGAGCTAAGCGTTTAACATTACTGCAATCCTTGGCAGGACTATTTTTGTCTGGGGACATTTTAAAGAGACAGATCCATTTAACTAAGGGGTAAATTGTTTTTAAACATAATAGACTCAAAGTGAAATTTGTTTTCAAGATAATTTGTAATACTCTCACAGGCTTCTTGTTTCTGATGTACTTAAAGAATTTCTTGTTTGTTTTTTACTTTGGCTATTTGTCCATAAGTTTCCCTCCTCCACTTCCTAATAGCCATCTTATATTTTGTGCTGTAGATTATACTTTTTTGGCTTCTGTGAGGGTTTATGCCCCTGGTTGCAGGGCAGCGCGGCCTAGTGGCCAGAGTCCGTATAAGCGCCCCTGGTTGCAGGGCCGTAGGACCTTACTACTGGCTCAGCGAGGGGGTCCTACCGAAACACGGTGAGGCTTACCGGGGTCGAGGTACCAGTCCGTCATCTCCCCTGGGCCGCTCCCTACTGGCTGGGGAGTTGGGGTCTCCCATGGATCCCAGGGTCCTCCGTGAGTCTCCGGATCCGTCGCCTCCTGCGGTTCCTCCCGCAGTAGGTGTTCATGCTGGCCGATAAAAGCCTCTGTTCCTGACAGCT